CCTGCCCAACGCAGACTTGGTGGCAACGGCAACGGCGGCGCTTGGAGTCACACACACGCACGCACGCACACGTGCCTGTGTATGCGGATACGTCGGATCGCGGTTTCCTAGTTTTAACTCTTTTATCTGTATTTTTTAATTTTTTTTATCCTTTGGCAATTATATCTATTACTTTTTGTACTTTTATTTTGTTTTTTTTGTTACCTTTTTCCTTTTCGCCGTGACTTTTCATTGATGTTTTTCTGCTTCTTTTTGTGCATATTTTTCCTTATTTTGGCTTTACATATTTTTTGCCTTTTTTCGAGGCTATGTATTCGGGTGTTTTTACTTTTCATTAACGCTCTATTTTGCTCTTTTTTTGAGTTCTTTCATTTCTTTCGAATCTTATTTTTCTTTTTTTACTGCCCAGCACATTGTTTACGTACTTAACTTTGTGCTTTCTTAACATTTCGAGGAGCTTTTTCTAAATTGAGGGTTAACGAATGCATCTTCTTTTCTGATACATATTTTTATTTTGGATGACAATCTCTAGCAGACAATAAATCTAAATTTTTTTATTCATCTCTACATTAAAACGCTGAGCTTTTTGACATAATTTAACGAAAAGATTACAAACAACTTTGCTGCCTTACTTTTTTCATCCTTTTGTGTTCTCATGACAAGAAATAACAAGAGCGATATTTGTAGCATTGGCTCATTTGCGCTGACTTATATTAGCCGTTTTTCTTTACATACTCGCAAATTGATGTTAAGCCGAAGTTAATCCGAAATGTATGAACACCTTCTGGCCTAAAGAAGCCCAAAAGCACTGCCTTAGTATTTTTTATTGTTCGAATAGACAAATATATCTTATTAGCTCAAATTATCCATTATTTGGACTGTCTTACACAATAATTTATTTTCCATCTCTCTGTAAATGTAAACGCACAGTTTACCAGTTTTAATTTAACTAATGGCATCAAAATAATAGGTCGTAGTTTGAATAGCATTGTGCACGTGATCACTTTCTAAATGTTTCATCGATATCGTCAGTGTAGCTAACATCTCCCAAGATTTCGGCAGTGTCGTCTGGATCTGAGAAGTCTGCAGGGACTCTTGAGGGTAGTTTGCACTCTTGGAGTTGATGACGTCTTCCAGTGGACCCTGTTGAACTGCCCGACTCACCCATCTGAGAGTATTTTTTCACCAATTCCATCACGGACAGTTTCCGTGCACCCTGTACTTCCCCATTCGAAGACACCTTCGGGGCTTGGGGTGAACGAGTTGTAATGTTCAGAGATTCTTGGTAGCTGTCCTTTGGTGAAAGCATTCCCTCGGCTGACTCCTTCCTACCCATCTTGAAGATCATTCGATTCATGGAGCGCACTACGTCGCTGGTATAACGCGTTTGATTTTTATTACCATCCGTTATCGGTGACAAGATTTCCGCAGACAACCGATTTGGATTTTGGTTTGAGAACATAGTCTGTGGAATACTAACAGGAGTAATGGGTGTCAAGACACTATTCCTTTTGGAGTTCAATGTTTCGACGCGGTGCGATGGTGTGTCTGTCGTTCCGCTGGAAATGAGACGCTTTTTTTGGGTAACGCGTATTTCATCCTCAAATCGGTCGTTTTGGCTCATGACGGCAGGTACCTTCTGTTGTTGCATTTCAGGTGTAGCTTGGGGTTGTGTCTGCAAAGTCGATCTGTAGTCAAAGCTCGCTTCACTTGGAGGAACAGATGTGCTAAATGGCTTGGTTGGATTGTAGGTCGAGTAGTTGGCGATGTCCATGTGGGGTGTGCACGATCGCTTGTGGTGATGATGGCTTTTGCGCCGGTGACGTCTGTTGAGGGTGTGTGCGTGTCGTCCGACGATATCATATCCTGATGGTATTGTTGGTGCTGCCACGTACTGTCCAGAATAGGGATCGTAGTAAAGCAAGGGAGGCGGTAGTGGAGGGACGTAGTAGCTTTCCTCACCAATATTTGCAGAGGGTTGGGCACCTTGTCGAGACTGGATTCCTGCATAACTCGGTTTTCTTCCATTTTCTAGCAAAACACCATCTGGGGTGGCACTTCGTCCATTCTTTGATGGTATTTGCGGCATGGCTAACCTGGGTCGACCGTCGTACTTCACAGGCACCTGCACGAATGCCGGCTGCTCCCATCCATCCCAACTATAGGCCGGTGGTTGCTGGAATAGCTGTGACACGCGTAATGGTCGAGGTTTCTCGATGTTCTCCTGTCGAGCACTCTGAATAACTGGCGACGGAGAGGGAGAAGAACTGGACTCTCTTTCCTGACGTCGTGGTGGCGGCGCAGACGACTGTCTAACCCGGAACTGTGGCCTCTCATTGTGCTCAAATGGCGTCATGTGCTTTAAATTGACTAGAGGAGAGAAAGTGGGTGGTCGAATTTGAGATGACAATTGTGGTTGGTTGGTCTGTAAAGTGGGCCCTGGACTTTCGTGCTCCTGTGGCACCTGGCGTGGCTGTGACACCATCGGTAGCAGTGACGCATCGTCTGTTGACATTTTCGAACGAAGGAGTTCGTCGGCACGGAAGTTGGAAGTCTCGTCTGACATCTGCTGTTTCTTTTTGCCGAAAGACTGAAAAAATTCCTTCACGCGGTCACCAACGTTGGCTGAAACAAAAGGAGACTCAGTAAAGGCTTTAGTTTGACAAAAGGCTGCTCTCGTGGTGATGCGGTAGAGCTGATTTTAGATAGCTCTACCGGTTTGGCATTTTAAGTTAAACAAAGCAAAACAGTTTGTTGACAACTGTCGAAATCACACTTAATTAGGTTTCATGTTTTAGCACTTCAATTTTCAGGAATCGTGCATACCTTTCGTAAAAATACCATTTTGTTGCAACAGTTTATTGATCGATCAATCGTCAATTTAGGTATAAAACTATTCTTTAGAAAAAAATTAAAAGGAAAATTGAGGAGTTGTTTTCCACGGCCCTAAAAATTTGAGTACGGATTCCAGTTATCCTAAACTACACTCCCAGCGAAACATGACTGTATAAAACTTGGTTTAAGCTGAAAAACCGAAAACCGCGCTTTGTGTGCAAACTAAGTACCTCGTTCAGACATATTGAATCATAACTTAGACGTAAGTTAGTATAACTTGTTTTAAGTTCACCGCAGCAAATTTAGACGAAATAATCCGGGTCAATGGCGTTATATGGCATTATCACATTCCATGGTATGTCTATTGGTAGCTTTTTAGTTTCGTCAAGCACACTGCTTTGGCCTCCATCAACCGTCATTGGAATAATGTCCAACACACCGTAGTTATCTACTTTGCAGTATCAATTCCAACCAAATGAGGAATCCCCCTGGGACACAGCAAATCGCGATAATTCACCCTGTCACTTGTCTAGGAAGGTGACATTTTTAGACTTTGGTTCAGCACATTCCAGGCTTCGAACACTGTCGTATGCCGACTGGAGTAGTCACTCCTTACTTGTAGTATGATCAGTTTGACCGATGTTTCCCAGGTAACGTGAGAAACAGGCTAGCCACACTGAAAGAGAGTGATAAACTAGAAAGAAGACTGATTAAGGGGTACAGACCTTGAGTTTTCACAAGTGACAGGCCGGTGGAGACAGCGACCACGTTGAAAACTGCCTATTGTGCTGTAGTTGTGTTGACGTCTAACAATTACCATTTCTCTTTCGTTCTCACTTCGGCCTAGTGGCTGATAAGGCAAAAATTTCCTTCGGAGTGAACACAGACAGGGACGGGACGAAATGTGGACATCCAGCGTGAATGCCAGAGATTTAGTGTATTCGCGCATTTTCACGTCTCTTCAATCTAGCCTGCAGTATTTGTTTTACAGCCAGTTTTCCCACATCCAACAATCCCAAAAAAACAACTGGAACCTTGTAATGAAAATGACACCGACACGTACCGATGAATGCCAACAGTACTGATCTGGCGATGCGTATTTTTTTCAATGAACAAAGGCGTCGAAGCACGGAAGGCAATGACTCTGTGTGACGTTCTACAGGTCACAGCTCGATGTGATGACGACTGCGTGCACAAAATCACGACGCATTACTCAACTCACTAGTCACTGCCGCAAGTGGCACACCGAAGTCCTAACGCTTGACTAAATTCTAACGCGTTGTGCGCATTACAGTCCTTCGCAATTCGCGCTACTTAATTTCGGTACACCCGAGTGAAAAACAAGTCAACGGCTCTTTCCTTTGGCACAAACGTACGGCGCGCCATCAAGGAAACCTCAGACCTGCATATGATTGGTGTTCTCATGGTAAAACAACATACTCCATCGCCACGGCAACCAAATTCATGCTCAGACTTGTTCCATGCCTGCATCTGTGATACAGACGAACATTTTGTGAGGTAACATCAAAAATTATCTTTCAAAAGTTAGACGAGGCTTTTTAAATAAGGATTGGCAATCAGAAGTCATGCTAATTCAAACTTTTGTACAAAGTCCGCATAAATACACCCACGCCACACAGCACGTTGGCACGCGCACACACACGATGACAAGCGGGTGAGTAAGCAGTTGTGTCCACCTCGGTGTGGTAATCAAACCGATGTGATTCATCACGCATTAGTACTTTCGACGCGATGCATCACAGGCTACATAGAATGTTTTATCACTTTCAAAGGCACTTTCCAGTTCAAAACAGATATTTCCGACAAACATTAGCAATGTTTGTTTCTATTCGCTGTTGTTGAGCCTGCATTCATTTCAGCGGTTATTTCACATGACAGTCCTGGTTTTGGTTGTATCAACCACAAGATTTACAACTGTGAAGCTGGTTTTGTCCAACGCAGCTCCTAATGTGAGGTGCAGCATCGGAGTGGTTTACGAAGAACCCTTTTCTTCACCCTCAAAGTGAAAAGAACTGGTAGTAATCTATTTCCGACTCAAGTCGCGTCCAGTCGTTTATGGGGCATACTCGTCAGTCGCCATAGCGTCCGAGTAGCGACTAATTAACGAGGAGCTTTTATAGAGTGCAACGCCTATTCCAGTCTGGTAAATCGCGGATTCACCGACAGTAAAGATGGTAACCAGATGGTAATAGAGAATTTTTTCCAGTAGAACATGGACCGATAATGCATAAAAATGACCTTAACTCCGAAGAACTAAATTCTAAGGAGCCAAAAGAAAACTTAATAAATTATTTAAATCAGGATAAAGACAGGATAGGACGCACTTCCCATGACTTTCTATGTAATCATTTATAAAGCCTTTTTGGGGGACCTATTTAATTCAGCTTTCATGTGGTACCAAAGAAATAATGGCAGGTAAGACGTTGAATTACTAAAAATTGGTAGAAGCTTATCGTTACATAGATTTGTTTGATCAACAACACCCGGGGTTGACATTTCGCAAATTCGAGATTTGTTTATCTCAAAATAGAATCAGGAAACAGTTTGGATTTAACTATGCAATTTCGTTACAGTTTGAACATGTGATTTCGGAGAATTAAAAGTCCCTGTCCAAACAGTGGCTGAATTTTATGTGACAATTGAATTTACATGTTCTTTACTAAAGGAACCTAATCTTATTTTTCAATGATTTCGATATGCGTTTTGATTTACTAAAAGGCAACTACGGTTGAGACTAACTCTAATGTAAGCTTCAGGCTACTTATGCAAAAAACAGCCTCGCATAATAATAGCTTTGACAAGGAGACGAAATTAGGGCCATTTGTAAGCCACTTCCTATTGGCATAGTTTTCAACTTGATAAATGCCACGCAGGTATTTGAGTTTAAGAATTAGCTACTCATTTGTGTGCATTTTACCGATGCGCAAGTGTTGTAGTGATGTGTACGAACTGAGCCAATCAAATTCGAGAAATCGATTACCTCTCTACTCGAGCAATTTCATTGGTTGATACGCTAGCAAAACTCTGTGTGAGAGCACGTGCGAGCATCGACAGGGTGTGAAATGAATTGACAAAGCTTTGGCGCCATATTTTGAGAGCCAAGGTCATTGGAAGTGTAGGCACTTCAAAAAACGGGAGTTTTGAGAATCTATTGATCCTGTCTTCAAACAAAACCAAACGTCACGAATTCGTTTATGAGAAAATCGCTTTTTAATTTCCTTTTTGGAGAAAATTTGACCAAATTGACATCATCAACCAAATCTAATATTCAATTTTCTGTAGAACAACAACGTATTACACTCTTTTTAAGGCAAAATTGCAAATGCAAAATCACATTTTGCAATAGGCTAAAGTTAATTGGAACACAACACCTTATAAGCTGCAGATGAGGCCTTATTATGCTGGCACCACTAGACGAGGGGTCGGAAGAAGCATACTGAACTCCTGGTCAGGATGCGAATCAGCAAGGACTGAGTCACCTCAAACTGACGATTGGATGCATCGACAAGGAGAATGCCCCATTTTTAAGTGTAGCACCCCACCAGCACCAAGAATTAGGTTATGTGCTTATATGCAAAAAAATTCTTACGGTTATATAATTGATTAGTTTCGATTTCATTGTGTATTGATTTCAGGTAGCGTCCCATTATAGTAACCCACCTGATGCTTGTTTGGGGCCAGTGCAAACTAAGCTATTTTGCATATTTTATTCGAACGGTTCATCAAGAAAAGGAATGACTGCGAAAATCCCGCGTGGCTGATTCATTAGAATAAACAAAGGATGTTTCGATTGATTTAAAGTTTAGCCTGAAATCTAACTTACCGGAGCAGGGACTCTCGCCGTATGAAAAGGCACACAGAAGATGTTACATGTCAGCTGTTTTTAAGACCAGCGTCGGCGTGTTGAGTGGCAAATAACGCCATCGTTGACAGTTCTAACACCAATCCAAATGAATTTCTTTTGCCGAGGGTACAAATTCGCAGGAAAAAGTGATCAGGGTAAACAAGTTATGCGTGCCCCTGTGAATAGCTTTAGTCACGCGTTTATCAGATATCCAGTTCACATGTTTTGGATCGGAATGTCACAGATAAGTGAACAGACATGTTGTATGTTTCTTTTTTCCCTGAAACGATGGATGTTTTGATGCATGAAGTTTTCAGCTGACGACCAAAAGCCTCTGTGGTTTTCTGGAACCTAGTGAAATCGCATTACGTCCAAATGGATTGATGTGCGGATCTACCCACAGAACAACCCATCGCCAGACACAAATCCTCAACGTTTTTGTCTAGTGACCATCGCAGTTGACTATGAGCAGTTCCATCGTAGAGGCACTTGAAACAGGTTGCACGTCATCAACTCATAATGTTTAATGCTGGTTCTTCGATTTCATCAACAAATGAAGGAAGACTATCAAAGTGCTACAACGGCAGATCACCGTTTAGTTCAACAGGGCATAGTTTGCATTTATCTCACGGATCGAAATTCACACATCGTACTTTCGCTGCATCTTCATGCAGTCATTACTTCGAAACAGTTCCACCGACATTATTGCCAGTAAATATCTATTAGGCTTGAACGTGGGCTTCAGCAAAGCCCACGAGAATGATCCATGTAGGAATTTCCAACTAAGGTTAGATCTGGGCCACCTCAGATCCTCATTGTGTAAGGTTTCGATAAAAGTTGGCGCATAATTTGTCATGTTATTTTCGAATAATCCTTTGTTTTACTATGCTGGTTTTGTTGGAACATTATTCAAAATGGCAAATAGGGGTAAGTACTCTACTTGTTGCATACATTCACTGTATGTTCTACTCATTGGCATGATATTGATTTTTTAGGATAACTGCTATTAAAATCTACCGTAACGGATTGTTTTTGGTTGTTATTTACAGTTCTGATGTCTGAACAGGACAATTGGACACATCGATTGGCGCCCTCTGATCAGTTCACAGGATCTAGTTAAGCGTGTGTGTGTGTTTGTAGTGTTATAGTATCATAGGTGTACTAAACTATTTAATGTTTACCGCCATTTATTTATCAAAAAACAACTAAACTAAGGAAAAATCGTGCCTAAATAAAAGTGTGGGTAGATGTTTGTAATAGGATGCCTTGGACTAAGAAAAGTATTGACTGAATTAGCTAGCTAATAAAGGACAAGCCCATCTCACCCACTCTGAAGCCTTTCACGCTGTGTTCAAATGATTTTCGCAAATCCACCTCG